GGGACAATATTTTAGGTTACTGAAGCAAATTACTCCTGAAGCCATCACTTTTTCTTCATTTTTTATTAATTATTTTATTTATTTACATTTCAAATGTTATCCCCTTTCCCAGTTTCCCATCCAAACCCCCTATACTACAGGAGCATCTGTTGAGTATATGCCCAAGAGTGATAAAACTGGTTCTTCAGGTTCTTCTTTTATTACCAATTTTCAGAGGAAACTACAGATTGATTTCCATACTGTTTGTATCAGTTTGTAATCCCACTATCAATAGAGGAGTGTTCTTCTTTCTCTACATACTCTCCAATATGTGCTGTCACCTGAGGTTTTGAACTTAACCATTCTGATTGGTGTAAGGTGGAATCTCAGAGTTGTTTTAATTTGCATTTCCCAAATCACTAAGTACATTGAACATTTATTTAGGTGCTTCTCAGCCATTTGAGATTCCTCTGTTGTGAATTCTCTGTTTAGTTCTATAACCCATTTTTGATTGGGTTGCTTGGTTTTTTGGTGGTTAGCTTATGGAATTCTTTATATATTTGGATATTAGCCCTCTACCAGATGTGAGGTTAGTGAAGCCCTTTTCCCAATCTGTAGGTTGCCGATTTGTCCAATTGTCTATGCCCTTTGCCATACAGAAGCTTTTCAGTTTCATGAGGTCCCATTTATCAGTTCTTGAACTTAGAGCCTAAGCCACTGGAGTTCTCTTTAGGAAATTTTCCCCTGTGTCAATCAGTTCAAGGCTGAATTCCACTTTTGCCTCTATTAGATTCACTGTATCTGGTTCTATATTGGGGTCCTTGATCCACCTGGACTTGAGATTTGTGCAAGGTGATAAATGTGTATCTATTTTCATTTTCTACATATATAATGCCAGTTGGACCAGCAACATTTATTAAATACATTTTCTTTTTTCCATTGTATATTTTTGGCTTCTTTGTCAAAGATCAAGTCTCCATAAGGGGGCAGTTTTATTTCTGGGTCTTCAATTCTCTGCATTGATCAACATATCTGTCTCTGTATCAATACCATGTAGTTTTTAATCACTATTGCTTTGTATCACAGTTTGAGGTCATGGAGGGTTATTGCCCCAGAAGTTCTTTTATTGTTAAGAATATTTTTTTCACTATTCTGGGTTTTTGGCTTTTCCAGATGCATTTGAAAATTGCTATTTCCATGTCTTCGAAGAACTGTGTTGGGATTTTGATGGGGATTGTGTTGAATCTATAGATTACATGCATGGTATATACTTACTAGTAAGTGGATATTAGCCATAATGGTAGAGAATACCCAGGATACAATCCACAGCATTCAGGAAGGTTAACAAGCCACTGTGCCTATGTGAGGATGCCTCAGTCCCACTTGGGATGGAGAAGAAGGTGATCACAAGACAGAAAGGGAAGGTGATCCTGGATGGAGAAGGGGATAGGGAGAGGAAGAGGGGAACACGATCAGGTATTGGGTGGGAGGGATAAGACTGAAGCCCTGAGGGCCAGCAGAAAGAATGGAAACAGACAACCTTTGGAGGTAGGAGATGGGGGTACCCTCTAGAATGTATCAGAGACCTGGGAGATGAGAGATTCTCAAGACTCAAAGGGAGAAACTTAAATTCAATCTCCTACAATAGGAAGAAGGAACTTGTAGAGTCCACCTCCAGTAGAAAAATAGGGCATAAAGTAGAGGGATGGAGTTGACACCCCACAATCAAAAACTCTGACCCAGATTTGTTCCTGTCTAAAAGAACTGCAGAGACAAAAATGGAGAAGAGCTTGAGGAGAAGGAGGTCCAGTGACAGGTCCAAATTGGAATCCATAACAAAGGGAGGCTCCAAGGCCTGATATTATTACTGATGATAAGGTGTGTTTACAAATAGGCCTATCATGACTCTGAAAGTCCCAACAGGCAGCTGAAAGAGTCAGGTCCAGATATTTATACCAAATCAATGGACAGAAGTTGGTGATCCCTGTGGTTGAATTAGGGAAAAGCTGGAAGAAGCTGAGAGGAGGGTGACCCTATAGGAAGACCAGCAGGCTCATATAACCTGGAGCTCTGAGATCTCTAACTCTGGCAGCATACACCAACTGATATGAGGCCCCCAACCCATATAAAACAGAGGATCGTGTAGTCTGGACTCATTCAGAGAAGATGCACCTAACCCTCAAGAGACTTGACTAGCTAGTGAATGGGGAGGGCTTATGGTGTGGGAGTGGGGAGTGATGACATCCTTTTGGAGACAGGGGTTAGGGGAGGAGGTATGGAACAGTCAGAGGGCAGACCAGGAAGGGGATAAAATCTGGACTGTAAACAACAAAAAGATTAAAGAATACATAAAAGAATACTCAAAAAAATAATCCATGTACACCAACTCAGAAAAACAGAGGATAAAGCCAATGTGGATACCAGCTGAGTTACAAAACAACTATGAGGCATTGTCTTACAACCTCTCCTCATACATGTGCTTATATCACATAATACCAAATAGGTTGAAAAGCAAAGATCTCATTTATACATGTCCTACACTGCATGCAGCCAAGCCAGAGGGAATCCAAAGGAGGGAATTTTGATTTATGCCACTCAGTACAGATTCAGTGTGTCAGAAATACTCTCCAAAAGTTATTGAAGTCAAAAACACTAATGTTGTTAATTTGCTGGTATGATTTTGCATAGTGGACATAGCCAGGAATTGAGCTTTCTTTTGCAGTTAATAATTTATTCTGGGTGCAGTAGGAACTCTCTACAAAGCCCTCTGTGTCCCTGAACCAATAATATAACTTCTAAACTGTGTACCTCGTTCTGTGACATTCTAGCCCATATGAATATTGAAACTACTTACAAAAAGATTTCAGCTGATTTTATATAGTAAGTAAGAAAATTATCTCAGATTCAGAAATGTCAATCGGTAATATAAGAAACATTAAAGTAATTCTTCTAATCACTGTTAATCCCACAGTACTGAATTTTAATAGTTGAGAAGTAAATGAAATTCCAAACAAATAATCCAATGTATACACAGATATATTAAGAAAGATAATTAACAAGTCCCAAGTTGATGAAAACAGTTAAATGTAATAATAAAGTTGGTGTAAGACTCGAAAGAAAAATTCAATAAGTAATAAACTAAAATATTTCAAATATAAATTATATTAAGCCAAAGAATAGAAAATGTAGAAAGACACACCAATACAATGTGGGGAGAAAATTATAGAAAATATGAGCTGAAAGACAAAATAAAAGTATGAAAATAAACCAATGGGAACAGTGGGACAATATTAATACAAACAATAGACCAGCAAGATGGCTCAGAGGGTTAAGGGGATTGCTACAGAGCATTACGTACCTATGTTCAATCTCCCTAATCTAAATGGTAGAAGGAAAGAGCCATCTCCTTGCAAATTGATCTCTGACCTTGATAACTATTCCCTGCATATGTTTTTCCACTCAAAATTTCTTAAGGAAACTAACAATGTATATCAAAACTATGAAAATACTACACCTGATAGTTATGGTTGATGGGACCACCCACCCACCTCAAAATTAATCCAGAATTCCTACTATCAAAAGGAAACACAGGAACAAAGAGTGGAGCAGAAAATGAATGAAAGGCCATCCAGAGACACCACTTAAGTATTCATCCCATTTGCAGTCACCAAACCTGAACATTATTTCTGACACGAAGAAGTGTTTACTTACAGGAGCCTCTTATAGCTGTCTTCTGAGTGGCTCTGTCAGGGCAAATGTACACAGCCAAATATTGGCCTGAGCACACAGACCTCAATGGAGAAGTGAGGGCAAGGACTGTGGGAGCTGAAGGAATTTTCAACCCCATAGGAAGAACAACAATATCAACCAACCAGAAACCCCCACAGCTCCCAGGGACTAAACCACCAACCATAGAGTACATGTGGGCTGGGTGAGGGGAAGGAACCCATGTCTCCAGCTAGATATGAAACAGTATATTGCCTTATCTGGCATCACTGGGAGGGGAGCCCCTTAGTCCTGTGGAGGCTTGATGCCCAGGATAGGGGAAAGCTAGGGCACTGATGAGGAATGCATGGGAGGGTGAGGTAGCGTACTCATAGATGCAGGGGGTGAAGAGGTGATAGGTGGCTTGTGGTGGGGGAACTAGCAATGGGGATAATATTTGAATTGTAAATAACCAATAAATAATGAAAAATAAGAACCATATTCTAATGGTATAGAATGTTTTAACACATTATAAAATATTATTTAAAGTTAAGAATAGTTATACAATCTAAATAAAAGAAGCGTTCAGAACATCAAACTGATAAGACCATAAAAGGATAGAGATGCCATATTGTAAAATAATTAATCTACTAAATAAAAAGGAAAAGGAAATATATTTTAAATGGTAAGAGAGAAATACAAAGTTACACATAAAAGTATGCTTATAAATTTCTCAATAGAAACTTTGAATGCCAGAGGTGAGAATGATATATCTCAAGTTCTAAAAGACAATTGTCAATCAAAACTATTATTTAGCAAAGCAACATCATCATTAAAACAGAAAAGAACAAAAGATACCATGATAAAAATTAGCTATATGTGTTCGTTACCATTCTGCTAGGTGTTCAAGGTATTTGAAGGAAAACTTTCAGTGGAAGAGGAGAAATAAAAAATAACAATCCATGACACTATAGGAAAGAAAAAACCACACTGGAATAATACCTATATCGCAAAAATAAGAAACACAGAGCTCTACAGAATCAACAAAATAATAAAAACTAATATATATCTTTCTACAATATCTCTAAGCATTAATTTTCTTAATTCTCAAGTCAAAAGACAAAAACTATCAAACTTCATAAAAAAGCAGCAACCATCTGTTCATTGCCTTTAGGATTAAATGATGGAAAAGGTGGACCAAGAAAATTGATTTAGGAAACAAGCAATAGTTTTGATCTTACTATCTGGCAAAATGGACTTCAAACAAAAATTCAGAAGAAATAAAAGAATCACTTCATATCAATTAAGAGAACAACTCATAAAGAAGACATTTTAAGTTTAATCATATGCATACTGAATGTGAGTGTACTTGACACAACACAAATGCTACTTGGTGTAAAGTCAAAATAATACTAGTTAACTTCAAAACTCTACTTAAAGCAATTGGCATGTCAGCACAGAAAGAATATACAGAAATATCTTATCAAAATGACAAATTATATCAAATGGACTTAATAGGCACATACATACTACTCCATTCAAACACTACAAAATTCTGGGTCCTCTCTGTGGACTTTTTTATAAGTAAATGACCTATCAGGAGTGTCTGATAAATAAAGGAAAATAGTGAAATATTTACTTGTATTCTGTGTAAGGATCACAATGATGTAATCAAGCTGTAAATCAGGAGCGTAAAAGACCATAGAGTACACAGTAGCTTATGAAGATTAAAAACGTACTATTATGATGAAAGAGTTGTTGAAGAAATAAAATGAAACATATAAAATAGTCTTGGATTGAGTGAAAATACAACACACCAAAACCTACAGAGTAAAGTTAAAGTAGTAGGAAGAAAGAAGTGTATAGTCTCTATATATCTGTACTGAGAGAGAAGGGAGTATCTCAAATCGCTATTGTTTTCTGCTTTATTGCCACCTATGCATTGCTTTAATCATCAATGTCACTTTATATTGTAAAATGGCCTCCTGTTCCAACCAAAGCATGCACACTCAGAAGTGGGAGAATGAACATGGGAGGAAAATGTTCTGAGTGATGAGTTCCTACAGTAACATTCTATAAAAAAAAAAAAGTCCCTGTATATTAATGACCCTGAACAAGAGTTGTTTTTTTAGTACATATCCAGGTCATTGGTTTAGCTATATTGCTCATTGTGTGGTTTGGGTTTTCATATGAAAATATCAAGTTATTCATATAGTCATTAAAACCACCAATTTGTACTCACCAGAATAAACACTCTTGCCAATATGAGGACATAATGCTTTTTAATTTTCATAAAGCCAGTCAGTAAATTGAAGTTTTAAATGTGAAAGTCTTGATTATTGTCTTGATTAAGAATTTATTTGTAATTCTACTAGCCATTCTACTAGAAAATGAGTGTGACTAAAGTATTCACCAAGATGACAAAATTCCCACACAAAACAATTATAATTTCAGCATTTGTTGTGTCACTGCAGGCCAGCTTCAGCAGGGATGGAAGGTCACAAAAGAAAAAGTTGATCTTATTGTCTTCACAAAAGGAGAGGGAGAAGGTACATGTGGTTCTTTGAATGGACCCAGATAACCCACATATACAGGCTCCCAGTACCAAATTCCAGCATTTTTTAGGACTCATGGTCACAGTGTAGAGCAGAGGATTGCTAATAGCAACATAGCGATCATAGGACATCACTGACAACAGGAAACATTCTGTACTTTCACAGAAGGTGAAAAAGAAGAACTGGGAAGCACAATGACCATAGGAGATAACTTCTTTCCCTGTGGCCAGCATGGCCAGGATCTGAGGGGTGATGACACTGGTGTAGCAGTCATCCATTACAGAGAGATGACTCAGGAAGAAATACATTGGGGTCTGAAGCTGGAGATTCATCTGGATAAGAATGACCATGCCCAAGTTCCCCAGGATGGTGACCAGATAGAAACAGAGAAACACCAGAAAAAGAGAAATCTCCCACTCTGGATAGTCAGTAAAGCCCATGAGAATGAATTCGGTTACTGTGGTGAGGTTGTTATTGTCCATATTCAGTGTGGACTGTTTACTCATTAGAAGACAAAAATGTATTGTAAAGATCCCAATACTTAAGGTCACTCTTTATCTCTGTAGTAGGTGTTAAGTTTGTTTTTTGCCTATATACAAAATATTTTTTCAGAAATTAATTAATCTGACTGATTTTCTTTTGATATTTGTGAGAAGCACAAGGTGTCTTTCAGTTGCTATTTCTGATTCAAATTAATTCTCATTTACATTTGGAAATTTCGGTGCCGACAAGAAAACTAATCCTCAGTGTTGGGGAGAATGAAGATGCTCCCTTTGTGCTTACACTCCAATCCCATTGCAGGCAGGAATCTCTTTCCTGCATGCCAACATGTGTTCATCCGTTGTCTACCTGAGCTTCCCCATCCTTAGTCATGAGCTTCCTCCTCTTTAGTCAGTCCCACCTATTCATTCTTTCCTTGAAACTGAATCCCATTTCTCTCTTCGCTTCTATACACTGACCTAAACTGCCCTTATACTCAAATCAATTTAACCTATTCTTCCCTTTAAAAAAATGGGGAGTTGATTAGCCTGTTATTTTGTCCTGAATAATCCCTTTTTACATGCATTCATATATTCTTCTTGATATTATACCATATTCAAGCCTATTCAAGTAATACTAAAAATAACTTTTTTCAACTTTAGTTTTTACCACTCCACTTCAAAGTCCATAATATTTGAGATGCTGCGGGTAATTATTTTCAGTATATAGCAACAAAATTTGAACAATAAAGTCATAGTCTTCCTATACTTCAGTTCTGCAACTTGGCTCACATTATCTATTCCTATTTTGCCTCTATTACTTTGTATATCCATTCATTTTTACTGTTAATTTTTTACCATTATTGTGACAATTTTATACAGACAGGCTACAGAACTTGGTCATTATCCTGTATTTAAACACAGAACTTCCTAGTGCCAAATCATGTACTCTTTCTACCATGTTGTACCTCTGTAACTACAAAAACTTAATTATCTGCAAGGAGAGTCGAAAATTTAAACACACACATATACGTTTCAAATATCATTAAGTAAATATAACCATAAGATTGACTTTGAATTTTTGTGATATATGTGAGGTTTTTTTCTCTGTCATGGCTATGAGTTAATATAGGCTCGGTTTCCCTGTGTCTTTCATGGTATATCTTCAGGTAAATTGCTTAACTAAGAAGCAAATTTGAACAATTTTTCAGTAACTTAGAATTGTTTTTTTTAAAAAATTGATTGTGTCATGTAATAACAATTTTCAGATTTGATAGAAGTGAAATTTGAAGAACCTATGTAGTATGAGCAAACTTTATGTGATGCTACATAAGAAGGGGGTTGAGGAATCATCATCTTGAATTATTGCCAGAGCAGAAGGAGGAAACAACTGCTTATGAATGAGAAATAATTATTCTGCAGCTATGAACAGTTTTTATTAGTAATTTGAGGAATTTGTAGAATGCGCTTTGATCACATTCATACTCTTACTCCAACTCCTCCTAGAGCTACATTTCTTCCTGCCTATCCTCTTATATGTCCTCTTGTTTAAAAGCATCAAGTCTGCTTTGTGCTGCACATCTACTCTTTAATATGTGTCGCACATTCTGCATTATCTTACACATATGATTCCATGAAAAAATTATTTTGTTCAGGAGGAGTCTAAGACTCAGGGTAGTTAAATAAGTTACCCTTGGCTGCTCAGTGAAATGATCTGCAGGCTCAAAAATCTGCCTTAGTCCACAATCAGAGCTCAAATGCATGGGGTTGGTTCCCCCTAGTGGATGAATGCAGCAAACATAATTTACAAGGCAATCTTGTATCCAAATACTGTAGTTTAATACCAATCTCACTTGCATGAAACTATGCATTTTTAGTTTCATCAAAAGTTTTTTTTAAGTTAATTATCTTACCTGTTAGACTTCTAGGATGAATAAGGTTGCATGACATGACTGTTTCCAATGTTCAAGGCCAAATTTTCTCCCAGCTCACCTTTTCTAGTTTGTGTACCCCGTATTTTAGAGCCAGTATTTTTCCAGGATTTCAAGGCCAATAGCTATATTATAATCACTTGGTAGAATAATCCAGTTGATTTTGAATGAAAAAGTAATAAATTTTAATAAATCACTCTATACAAAGCATCTAAGATCACTCACATAGTTCAATGTAAATCATGGATTTTTGTGTTTTCTTACAAAGCAAGTGGATGATATGAAAAATGCTATGGGGATTGTTTGTGTGAGAGTAACAAAGTGGAAAGAGTTCACATGAATACAGATAAGCTCCAGAGACAGCTTTTGAGGTTTCTGGGGAAACCAATCCCTGAAGAAAATGTACCTTGGAAATCACTACTGTCTCATCGTCTCTATGCATCTTAGAGGATAAAAACAAATCTTTTTGGATTACAGGGAAACTCCTAAGAATTTTTCATCATACAGGTCAATAGCAACACTTTTAGGAAATGAACATTTTGGTAGTGACTTATGTTCTGATCAACTTGCTACTGAAGTACAGTGTTGTTTCTGGAGCTCTGGGCTGAGGACTTTTCATGTCTCAGCACAGCATTCAATCTTAGTCTTGCTGTAAAGTTATATTTTGGACGTAAAACTCAGTTTCCTCATCTACTGCACATTTACTAAGGAGATGTGACTACTGAGTTGGAAGAGACTGAGTGTGGATTAGTCTAAAACACACTTCATGTGATTCTCTGCGTAACATATTTGCTCCCTTGGCTTAAAGAGGATACATTTCCAGGGTGTCTGTAGTCACCTTTCTCTGTTCCATTTCCTGCTTTTTTCTTGTCTCTGAAACCCACAAACTTTGTTAGAACCTGTCAATTTACCATGGGTGTCAATCGTTCATAATTGATTCTTAGCCTTCTCTACTACACAGATGATTGCTAGAGCATCTTGCTTCTCCCTCTCTGATCTGTTTACATGTACGCACGTACTATTAAGGTCTAAGAGATCTTTCAGTAGAAAAAACTCTCACAGACACCATATACCTCATTTCTTTCTAAATAATGACACTTGGATAATTCTTTGGTGACAAGCAAGTACTCAAACTAGATAGAGATTTCCAACTACAGATCCCAACTGGCATAGGTATGTATTACAAAGAACAGAGGCAGCCAAAGATATATTGTAACTCCTGACAGTTAACATGGGTAGTTACATCTGTCAATAGAATTTTTGACAGTGCTTGTTGCCATTTTATGAAACTAAGAATTGAAATGACTCAGTGGTGAGAGTTTGTCCATTTCTTAGACATATATAAAATGCAGTGTGAACTTGCAACCAAGTAGAGGAAATATAGAAAGGAGAACACATGGTAATGAGGATATTACATTAAGTCTACTGTATAGGGAAGAATTATTATAGAAGGAATTAAATAGTATCTATTACTTTAGCCCTTCTTTTTGAAAGATTGGGATAACTGTAGCACTTCTGCATATAATTTAATTATGGCTCATGTTATTAAATTTAAACATTATGCTAGAAGTTCTGTTTGGAGTTTAAGGAAGATAAATTACATTTTATACTAGCTTCCTTTTAATAGTATTTGTAAAGGGAAAAGTGAGTGTGTGTTTCACTGGTAAAGTTCTCATGGGAGAATCTTGTACTCTAGAAAACAAAGTGGGAAATGGTTAAGCAAGTATTTTTCTTCTAGAGTCCAGTGTTGGGCTATTCCTTAGGGAATTATTTAATGTAAATTTTAGCAGATATTCTGCATACAAACTACTGAATTTTTAACCATTTGTACATAGAAAGTTTCAGCCTCCAATATGATAGACATATTGATTGATATATTGAAAGAATTATCAAAATATCTATAACATATATACTAAGATATCAACTATACAACACAAAGCATTGTTAAGTCCATAATTTTCATCAACTTTGAATGAAGATTTGCCAAAAAATGGCATATTAATAGGAATAAAGAATCACACAAAAAACAGTCCAAACAAAAGTTCAAATGGGTGAAAAAAACCAAGAAAACTTGTAAAAATAAAAATAAAATGGAGAGATGAATAGACTATATGGGATTGAAGGCTTCATATGAAGATTTAAAAAACGGGTATTTTTAAAAAGAACTGGATATATATAACTAAATCAAATAACAAATTTGTAAAATATGACCAACTGTGCACAGGTAAGAGCTGAGCTCTAGACTTCCTCCTACACCCAGAGACAGCTTGACTCCCAGGAGGTCTTTCACAAACAGGCTCACAGGTGAGCCCCTTCTTTTGCCCTAGTACCTCACCTAACTATAAACCCCATGGAGCCCAATAGATGCAGGACCTATCGACCCTGCTGGAGAGACATCATCTTTCTGGACCACAGCTGCATCTAGGGGCAGATCAGGAGTTCTATCACCCCCACACATACAACACAACCAGAGAAAGCTTGAGTCCCAGGAGGTCCATCATAACCAAGCTCACAGGCGTACAGGAGGGAAAGGCTTCAGTCAGAGACAGCAAGGCCAGGTAATACCAGAGATAATCAGACTGTGAGACACAAGCTCAAGAACATAAGCAACAGAAACCGATGCCACTTGGCACCATCAGAACCAGTTCTCCCACCACAGGAATCCCAGAATACCCTAAATAACCTACAAGGTAAGATTCTGACCTAATCATAAATGGAATAATCACTGGGCGGTGGTGGCGCACGCCTTTAATCCCAGCACTTGGGAGGCAGAGACAGGTGGATTTTTGAGTTTGAGGCCATCCTGGTCTACAGATTGAGTTCCAGGACAGCCAGAACTACACAGAGAAACCCTGTCTCGAAAAACCAAAAAAATAAATAAATAAATAAATAAATAAATAAATAAAAATAAATAAATAAATGGACTAATCATCCTCATGAAGATGAGAGAGGACCTTTAAGAGGACATAAATAACTTACTCAAAAAATACAGCAAAATAGGAAGAAGCCCTTAAAAAAGAAACACATAAATCCCTTAAATAAATATAGGAAAATTCAATCAACCAGATAAAG